AAAAAAAAAAAGGAAAATGTATGGACAGCGAACAAAGAACAGAACATAGAGCACAAGTTTAATATAGTCTATATATATAAAAATGAGTTTATTTATAATTATTTAATATATTGTTGATCTAATCAAGAACAAATGATATAATTAGATTAGAGATCCATCAACAAAGCCGCCAACGATTATTTTATTTTACTTATGGTTTAGATGGCTCAAAAAGAAATGGGGGGACGGCCACTATTTTGACACGGACTTTGATTTCAATTTTTCGGCTTCAGATTTTTTTTTTTTTTTTTTTCTAATTATAAGGTACTATAAATTTTGTTCAATTTTGCAATTAAATTCTAGAGATCTTATTTTGAGGAAAAGCAACGGTCTCGTTACGGAATCATTTCGTCGGAATGTGTAACCGTTAGATCATCATGTAACTGTAAGGGATAGTTGATCTAACGGTTACAAATCCCGACAGAATAATTCCGTAACGATACCGTAACATCTTTCCTTATTTTAGATTGAATAGTTAGAGATCAATTTATTCCTTTTACTTGACGAATTATCTAATGATAAAAATTTTTACCATTGATTTTGATAATATTATAAGAAGAATAATGTGTGATTGTTTGTCATGTGTTTTTCAGTGAATTAGGTTGCAATTAAACATAAAAAGAATAATAGTAAATTGGATTGCAATTAAATATAAAATTTAGATTGCAATTAGCCAATCCCTAAAAAACCTCCCGTCTTCCCGCAAATCGTTGCCCCTCCTTCATCTTCATACTCGTCACCGACCAGCCGGAGTCGAGGTTCGTCGAGTCGGGGCTGTGGTATTTCTCCGTTTCTTCTGAGGCTTGTGGGAGATCTGGACGTGGAACACTCGCTCCTGCCAGGATTGAGTTGTTCTCACCGCCCAGCCATCTTCTCGGCCAAGGTTGAGACCACTTGTCGTTATTGTTCATACTACAGCCTCGGGAAGGTACTGATCGCCGTTTCGTCTGGGGTTGTGTTTTTCAGGTTCTGGGGTCATTGGGTGCGGCTTGCCGTCCGGTCGATCCCTCTTTCGTGCACTTCGGCGAGTCATGTTTGTGTCATCGTGGCGGCTCCCTCTCTCCTCCCGTGGTGTGGATGGTTTTTTGGATGCCAAATTTGATTTGAGAGCAGACCCTTCTTCAGATCTGTCTAGGCGGCTTCAGTAGCCGCAGATTTCGTGCTCGAGTTTCGGATTTGTGGCTTTGTTGGATCTCTTTGCTTGTGGATGAGGCTCGTGTGCAGTCTCGGTTGGTCGTGCGTTGAGTTTGTTAGGTGTAGGGGAGATCTTATCTTCTTTATTTGTTTATTAGGTGTGAGTTGCTTTTATTTTCTCTTTTGTTGTTTTGTTTTGTTTAGTGCAGCTGTGTTTGTTTTCTAGTGCAGCTTCTGCTTTTATCTCCTTATGGAGTTTGTGTCTCTTTTCTGGAGTTTTGATTTGTAGTTGTTAGCCTCCGTGATAGAGTTCGTACCCCTTGTGTGTTGACGAGGGGGGTTGGTCCAGTCTTCTGGTTCCAGTGTGTCACTTGACACTTCGGGAGTACTCGTTTGATTTTTTAAGTTATTAATATAATTGTCGTTTGGAAAATAAAAATTTGTAACCATATATAAAATAAATATACATTAATTAAAATTGACTTGGAATCTACATCTATATATATATAATTGTTGGCAAGCTTCATTTAATTTTATTCAGCCTTCATTTAATAAAAATATGTTGCATTTAATCAAAATAGGTTGTATTTAATAAAAATATATTCACCATTTAATAGTAATATATAACTTTCAGTTACAAAATTTATTTTGACAGGTCACATTGTGGATGGTACTCATTTTCTACAACGCCTTTTTATATCCTGAAATACAAAATATATGTTTTTATTTGATTCTATGTATTTTTGGTATTATACAAATACATATTTCACAACTAATTAAGAATGAATACAAATATCTCTATTTTCTATTGCAGTCATACAACATCAAATATTTTGAAAAATCAAATACCAGATTCACGAGTCAAAGAGGTTTAGTGATAATGATTTGTTGTGATGGGATTATGCAATTGGAAAACAATGGATATTGTATATAAAGAAGTGTTTAACAATATTTAGCTTTACTTTTTTATTTTATTCTATATTTTCAATTACTTTCTCTTCTATTATATCGTTTTTAGTGCAAATGCACGGGGTAAAACTAGTATTATTTGGTAGTGAGATACATATGAGTGAGTGAATGAAGTTATTTGCTAAAAACATTATCAGTTATTTATTACAGTTTTTTTAAGAAAAAAAAAGAAATGGAATATATATTATTTTCATGATTTTTTTAGTTTTTAATAAATAAATCTTAATTATAAAATTTAAAAATTTTCAAAATTATATATAGAAATTGTCATTTTAGTTTCTCGAGTTGTTAATTTCTTGTCAACTATACTAACTTTTTGCATTATTTTTTTGCACATACACATACAAATGATTTTTTTATATTATATGTGCGTATATAACATTGTTCGATCAAAGTGAAATCTTGGGTTTTTTCTTGTTATTATATAATGCAATAAAAAAATATATAATTCGATCACAGATAATCTTTGGTTTTTTCTTGTTATTATGTAATGCAATAAAAAAATATATAATTAATCAACTAATGCAAAATGTAGCAGCTTCTTTCTAATATTAACTATAAACATGAGTTTGAAAAATATTGGCTTTTGAATTATATAATTTGCCAAAAATTATATATAACTTGTAAGAAACGGGGGAAAATGGGTGTTGTCTCAAGTACATGAGACGCATCATAACAGTTCGAGCTCATATAAAGCTCAAGTGATGTTTCATCTCAAAACCAATTGTTTATTGGAGGAATAGTCCACTAGAATTATAAGTTAGACCTATGTTCCATGTATAAGGGTGTGGGACAACTCAAATGTGATATTCTAACACGCCTCTCACTTGTGAGTCCTTCTTACGGAGTCAAGCTCATATACGAAGCTGGGAGCCCAAGCCCAGCTAGACTAGATGACGAGTATGTCATCGCACGGTCTCACGTAGAACCGACTCTGATACAATGTAAGAAACGAGAGAAAAACGAGTGCAGTCTCATGCACATGAATCCCACCATAATAAGATTAAATATGAAATCTTTACTTACACCATCAAAGAAAAATATAAAGGAAGATATGTTAAAAAAAGTTACAAAAAAAATAGTCAAACTGATTAATTTGACATTAAAGTTGGGCTAAAAATAGATTTAAAATTATGCTAGGAACGTTATAAATAGGGTAAATTAAAGTATGGGAAAAATATTATTAATATATGTTTGTAATAAGAAATATAGAAAAAAATGAAATAATTTTATTAAAAAATTTACCTACTTAAATTAACTTTTACTTTATATTTATGTTGCTTCAAAATTACTTTTTCTTCATTCACTCTTCTACTAACTAATATAGGCTCAATATATATTTTTCATTCACTATGGTAATGCTAGAATACAGTCCCGCTCACCTGTCCACGGTGGACAGTGTCCACTAGTTTGTTTTATATGAAAAACGTATATTGAGAATACGTTTTTCATATAAAACAAATTAGTGGGCACTGCCCACCGTGGTCAAGGGAATATATTTATGCTGGAATATTGCAAAAGATAAAAAGGCATATAAACAGTGGGCGTGCTTTGGTGTCCGCTGACCTATGATTCGAATATGAGGGCGCACATGTGTGTGAAAGAGGGGCGTTTTGGCTAATTCGTGAATGTTGCAAATGATTGTGGATGTTAATTAATCATGAGTCGTGGGACCCACATTTAGGGGGTTAATTGAAAATTAGGACAGGTGTCTATTGGATTAAGATTACGGGACATAGCCGGTGGCCAGTCCGGGTCGACCGGTCGCCTGCTTCTGTCATCCCACCAAACTGGAATCATTTATTTATTTAAAAAAATAAAAAATAAGTGGACTAAAATAAAAAAAAAAAAAAAATGTGGACAAAAATAAAACGGACGGATTCTCACAATTCGTGTTTTAACGAAACACGTAT